TAAGTACTTTCTATTTGATGCAGTACACCTGTTAAAACACTTTTTCCACCGCTCAAAACAGTTTTTGAACTCGTCCATTTGGATCCCTTTTAGTGCTTCTGCCATTTTTTGTTTCACCTCTTCCACATCTATAAAACGTTTGTTTGCCTTTGAGGATTTTTTTCATCTGGGGAAACAAACAAAAAATTGCTTGGGGAAAAATTGAGTGAATAGGGAGAGTGGGCCACAGGGGTCATACCATTTTTGGTAAAAACAAAACAAAACAAACAACCGCTGAACACTCAGCATGGTGTGGGCAAGTGCATTGTCATGGTGGAAGAACCAGTCATCTGTTGCAAAAAATTCAGTGAAGCCAAATGCAGCCTCTCCCAACAATACTAGCTGGTACACACATACTGGTGGATTCCTAGAACACTTACCTAGTGGGGATGCCTGTACTACAAGGGGCCTGTCCTCCAAAAGATAATTCTCCTTTTTTGGGGGGTTCACCCCCCCATCAAGAAAGAAAGATAAGGAAAACAACAGACTTTCTATTGGGAGCAATGAAAGTCATAAAATAGTGAAACAAATCTTTAAAGCACTTAAAGAAAACCAGTTTAGGATTTTTGTACCCATTAAAAATATTGTTGAAAATGAAGATTAAGTCTCCACTTTCAGGAATCATTTCTGTAGTTCATGACTGGAGAAGTTTCTCTGAGCATGTGGAACACCGGAAACCATGAGGAGGAGGCACAGAGTTTGCTCTTGAGTGTGAAGCGAGTTCTTGGGGCTGCTTTGCTACGGCTGCCATTTGTCCTTAGTGATCATTCCTTTCTTCTTCTGAGAGAGGGGAGGAAGAGGATACAGTCTGAGTGGTGCAAAAGAAGAAGAAGAAGAAATAAAGAGATACGAAAGCTGAGTGAATTAACCACCAGCAGACCAGCACTGTTAAATGAAAACCTTCAGAGGAAAGGAAAACAATGTTGGATGAAAATCTGGATCTACTCAAGGGGACAACAGGCCCTGATAATGATAAATACATAGTGCGTATGTCCATCGACGTTACATCCACATTGAAGAGAGTTTTTTTGTTTTAAATAAAACGTCTTTTAAAAAGATAATTGCTTAAAGAAAAATTTATAATAACATTTATAATAGAGGTAGAAGTAAATAATGATATCAAAATTATATAGGGTGGGAGAGGGGAAGTGGAATATACTTTGGCAAGATTCTTCTATTATATGTGAAATGGTGTAATGCTATTTGAAGGCAGACTATAAAAAGTTAATGGTGTACCCTGTAAACTCTAATGTAACAAAAAACAAAATACTAGGATGCACAGCAATGAACCAATAATATAAAATAGATTTATAAATAAATATAATTTATAGATAAAATAGATTTATAAAATACACTCAGTTGAGAAGAAGCAAAAGCAAACAAAGAAATGATGACATAAATAGAATACAAACAGCAAGATGGCAGATTTAAATTCATTCAAAATATCACATGAAGTATAAAAAATCAAAACATCCAAATGAAAAGACGGAAATCATCAGAGTGGATAAATAAGCAAGACTCACATATATGCTTTTACAAGAAACCCACTTTGAACATATTAATCAAATGGGTTAAAATATAAGAATAGGAAAAGATATGTCATACTAACGTTAATGAATAAAAGTAATTATACAAATTTCAGACAAAGTAGATTTTAGAACAAAGGATATTATGAAGGACAAAGAAAAATTTTATAATCCTAGAGGTGTCAATTCATCAAGAGGCTACAACAATACTAAATATTTATGTACCTCATAACAACTTCAAAATACATGAAACAGAAACTGGCAGAATACAGAGGAGAAATAGATAATTCACAGTTATAGTTGGAGATTTCAATATTTGATGTTGAAATAGATGCCAACTTATTTTAATAGCTGCTAAGCAAGTACACAGCAAATTCGTATAGAAGCCTCGCACAATTCTGTCAACCTAACTCACTACCTGTGTAGAACACTTAAGCCAACTACAGCAGTATATACATTCTTTTCAAGTGCATGTGGAACATTCACCAAAATGGTTTATATTATGGCCATAAAAACAAGTCCAAATACATGTAGAAGTGCTCAAATCATACAAAGAACATTCTCTGACAAATCTGGAGTCTAATTAGAAATCAGTAACAGAAAAGCAGACTATTCCCAAATGTTTGAAAACGAAACAATATAATTGTAAGTAATCCATAGGTCAAAGAAGAAAATAAAATAAAAATTTAACAAGAGGAAAATATAAAATTTCAGATTTGTGGAATGCAGCTAAAGTAGCACTTTGATGAAAATTTATAAAATTAAATGTTCATATTAAAAAAGAAGAATGCTCTCAAATCAATGACCTAAGCTTCCACATTATGAAACTAGAAAAACAAAAGTAGAGTAAGCTACAAGTAAACGGAAGAAAGGACACTGTAAAGATGGGAGTGGAAATCAAATAAAATAAATTTAATAGAGAAAAATCAATGAAACCTCATATGTGTTCTGAGAAATTACAGTTTTTTGGTGGGCTCCCTTGCTCATAAGAGGAAGTCTAAATCTTAACTTGGGTTTGTGCTGCTACGTGATGTGGCCTGTGTTGCCTCTTGGACCTCATTTTTTTCTCTGTTCTCCATGCTGCGACCATACTGGCTCTTCAGATCTTGTATTGTCTGTTCTGCTGACACATGACCTTGTACCTGCTATCTCCTCTACTGGCCTCCTCCTCAGCTGTCCAGGTGTCTTTGCCTCCCACTCATTTCCACCTGGTTGACGCCGCCTCATCTTTTAGGTCAGCATCCTACTCTATAGCAAATCCTACCTTAACCTGTAAACTCCACTGGGACAGAAACTCTGTTTTTGCCTAATCTTTTATCTTTAGCACTTGCCATGTGCCTGGCTCATGGTGGATTCTCAGCAGATATTTGTTGACCAAATGAATGAAGTCTAATAATGGGTTTTTTTTCTTAGAATGTGATCAATTCAAACATCACTCCTTTTTTGCATCTCATGAATTACTATCCTGAGAATCGAAAGATCATTATTGTTGTACTTAGGACACTTAGGAGAGTATTTGGAGATTTTATCATCTTTTAATTTACTGTTTGTACTTCACTTGTTTATCTGTTGTTTTTGAATGTCTGCAAGAGAGTCCAGTTCATTTTGCCTTCTGATGTTTTTTACTCCTAGTGCTGTAAAGTTTCATCATTGAGGTGACTGTTTGGTTTGTTTTACTGTATCATCCACACTAAAGAAACTTGGCACAACTTGCGCCAAATGGACTAGTTAAAAATAATGATAAATTATAGGATTTAAAGAATATTCTACTTGCAGAGATTTTACTTTATAGTTTTAAAGATATATCCGTGACTATAAAGTGAAATCAATGTCTCAACACTCTTATTTCAAGAATTACACAAGACTGGGTGCAGTGGCTTAAGCCTATAACCTCAGTGCTTTGGGAGGCCAAGGTGGGAGGATTGCTTGAGCCCAGGAGTTTGAGACCACCTGGGCAATATAGCAAGACCTTGTCTCTACAAAAACTAAGTAAAATATATAGGATTGGTGGTATATTCTTGTAGTCCCAGCTACTGGGAAAGCTGAGGTGGGAAAATTATGTGAACACAAGAGTTCACGGCTGCAGTGAACTATGATGGCACTACCTGAGCACTCTCGCCTGGACAACAGAGTGAGACCCTGTCTCAAAAAAAAAAAAAAAAAAAAAAAATACACAAAATGATACAAGAACTAGTGCTGATCGAGTTCTTGTTTTCCAGTCTTTGACTTTATAGATGTTAAAATTTTATTCCTCATACCTCTATGATGTAGGAATCAATATTGTTTTACAGACAAACTTTAGTGATTTGCTCAAAATCTCAGAGCTAATGTCATGTCAAAATTGAAATCTAATTCTGATGTTAACACCCATCATTTTCCCAACACTGCTGCCTCTCAAACATGTAGACTATTAACATATTTTACCATATGAAGGACCAAATGTTTAGGTTCTACCGGTACATTGGTTAACAATAGCTAGCAATTATTTCAGTTTGTCTGACTGTGACATAGTCAGTTAAATGATTTTTCTAAGCCAAAATTGTGACCAACGTATTCATAGGTAGTATCTCCAAAGTAAGAAAAAGAAGGTATCAGTAAGATTTTATCTAATATCAACTTAATTCTTATTAAATGTCAGTTTTATAACATAAATCATATAAAAACATAGCAGTGGGAACTTAGCATGACATGTAGAGTAAAAAAGACCTTCATTAAGTTAAAAAATGTTCACTAGCATTCAGTAGTTATCAGTCATGAAAATTGAAAAATTGGTTAGCTGAAGAGTAATGTTCTGGCTTAAGGGTTAAACTTAAGCATCACTGAGCATAGACATTCAGTGAGGTAAGCTGTTGATACAGAAGCCTGAATGAGTTGGCAGGGGAAACAGTTCAGAGGAATGCAAAGATGGTGTGAGCAGAGAAGATGCTCAGGGAGCAGAACACAGAGGATAGTCCAAGATATGTCCTCCTTTCACAACTGTCATTCTTCCTGCCATTTGGGAATTTGAAGACTGTCTTGAGGAAACGGGGGAAAAAGAGATAGAGTGTGTAAAGAATCCCATGTAAGAAGAGCCATAGAAAATGATGAAGGTGCAGTTAGGGTTTGATGATATTGGAGTGGGATGGAAATGTAGATAGATGTGATTGATTTGTGTACAGGACAGTTCCCCTCCTCCCCAGGAAAAGTCTAGGAGATAAAGAGAATGAGGAAAATGGGATATAACAGGAGAAGAATCTCAGATGTGACTTGTGCAGATGGATTAGGCTATAGGTCTTCATTCATAGATTAAAATATTAATACTGTTGGAAAATAAGGCAATGACAAGAATAACCCCCCCCCCAAAAAAAATCTTTAGGGACAATTTTTAGCTAAGCTTGTTAGCTGGAACTGTGAGTTACATTGAGCTATGAAATGAGACATTTGATTCTTCAACAGGTAGGAAACTATGTGAAAGAACCTTCTGATGTCATAATTTCTGGGTGTCGCTGGAAACATTTGATGATCACTCCTTTGGCAGTTTTAGCCTTCTATGGAAGGTCAGTAGAAGCAATTGATTTATTCATCTCTACGGGAATCAGACAGCCTATTTTGGTAAGTCTATATATCTTTGATCAAATTAACTAAAACTTAATACCCACATGGATAGTTATCCTAAACCATACAGTTTACTATAGTTTTACTAAATCATTGAGCATAACACTTTTTAAAGATAATTGACAGCCTATAAAATGTATTATATTCAAATTCTTAAACCTTAATTTAGTTTTATGATTATCACCAAGAAACATTTACCTACTAGGCATAGGAGACTGTACTATGAATAAAAAACAGGTATAAGACTTTTTAAAAGTGTTTTCTATCCTTTGTGGGCTAATAGTTGAAGACATACATGTTATTTCAAAGTAGAGTTATTAAATGTCCACTGTGTGCCAAGCACCATTCTAGGTATTAAGTATTCAGTGGTAAAAAAGTCAGACATGGAGTGAGGATGGATCTTGAACATTCATAAAAAATGAAGGCATTGTTTTTCAACTGGGGGCAGTTTTACCTTTTTCCTTCACCAGGAGACATTTGGAGACATATTTGACTGTCACAAATTTAGGGGGAGGGGTGCTATTGACATCTAGTGGGTGAAGATTAGATGCCTCAAAACATCCTACAATGTGTACAGGGTAGTTCCCCTCTTCCCCAGCTAAGAATTATCTGGTCCCAACAGTCAATAGTGTCATGTTTGAGAAACTCTGAATTAGAAAGATAATGACTGCTACAAAGCAGAAACAAAGGGTGGTATGAAAACTTAGATAATGGAGTTGATGGAACGCTTCTCTGAGTAAGTGGCATGCAAAGTCAGACTTAATGGAGGAGTTGGCCCTAGCAAGTGAAGGGTGGGAGCAGTGAGGAGGGCAGATCTTCAAGTAGAGGCAACGGTGGATGGTAAGGAATATATTTATATGTGTGTGTGTGTGTGTGTGTGTGTGTGTGTGTGTGTGTGTGTGTGTGTATACACCATATGTATTTCATAATAAATTTCATGTCTCACATATACATGTATATTCACTTATATGTGTGTGTATATATACATTTATCAGTGCACAGTAATAGTAGAGTAGTAGTAATTGCTGAGTAATAGTAGTTAATATTTATTGAGCACTTACTATGTGTTAGGCACTGTGCTTTTTTCACGTATTCTTACTTAATACTCGCAATTACCCTGGAAGTAATATTATTCCTGATATATCTGTGGAAAATATGGGTAAGTTATGAACCTTGGCTAAGGCCACATAGCGAAAAGGCGCCAGAGCCAGGATTAGAACTCAGGGCAGTCCAGCTCTCCCAAGGCTCCTTTCTTGGCATTGTAGGGAGGCAGAGGGGGATGAATAACCCCAGGAGTAGAAGGGCTAGTTGAGGATATCTTGGTGGATGTGAAACTCTGAACTTCACAGGTAGAGAAGAGCATAGATAGGCAAACTGAATTTTGTTTTCACACAGAGGAAATGGACTTCAGTTATGTTAACCATAGGTTAACCATAGGTCACATTGAACTTGTAGGCTATTTTGTATTTGTTGCAAGACTTAAATTGTAAATAAGGGATAGTTGTGTAATATGGTATTTTAACACTTATAAAAAATTAAAAATTTAATACTATTCATACTGTTTCATAACTGTCTATAACAAAATAGTAACATTAAAAATTCCAAGGCTGGGCACTTGGCATGCCTGTAGTCCCAGCTACCTGGGAGCCTGAGGCAGAAGGATCACTTGAGTCTGGGAGTTCAAGGCTGTAGTGTACTCTGATTGTGTCTGTGAATAGCCACTGCATTGCAACCTGGGTAACATAGTGAGAATCTCATCTCTTAAAAAATTCCAAATAAATCTTTGAAGACAGCCTTCTCCCATCCCAATATTTTAACTTTCTCGTCTAGGTTTTCAGTGAATTATGCCTTTTCGATTTGGAACCCAGCCAAGGAGGTTTCCGGTGGAAGGAGGAGATTCTTCGCTTGGGCTGGAAGCAGGGCTGAGCTCCCAGGCTGCCTGCAACGGGAAAGAGATGTCACCCAACAGGTGAGTCTTCTTGTCCTGACAGCTGAGGAAGTATGCTGGCTGTCATCAGTACAAGCTCAGCTGGTATTCAGTATTAGCAAGGAAAAACCCAGGTATTCAAAACATTGCTGTCCAGTTAGTATTAATGCAGTCCAGGCTTTCTTAGTAGAGAGTCCAAATTTTGTCTCTGTAACTCCTGATAATAGATGAGTGTATTCTCTCTGATACATTTTGGGCTAGATTTTGTTGTTGATAGTTTTAGGATTAGATAACATTCAATTAAGCAAGCAAATCTTCAATGCTATTACATGCAAGGCACTGTGCAACACATATACAGATATGAAAAAGATGTAGAATTCAGATTTAGTGTCACTGTGGCCTTGATTTGAATTTTGGTGGAAGGAGAGTGATACGGAGTATATGGCAAGTCTATCAAAAAACCATTTTTCAAAATTGAAGAAATCTATTATAAATAGGCTTTGCTCAGCTTTTCTGCTATTTACTATAGTAAAACATTAGATATTATACTATTAGATTCCTCATGGCTTGGAAATTTTTAGAACAGAGATATAAGCTTAATAAGATAGGTATTTTAAAAATAAGAGTTAATCAAGGAAAAAATAGGCTACTTTGGGAAGTATGAACTCCTTGCCTTTAAAAATGTTTAAGACTGAATGACTACTTGGAATGTTGGAAAGGAAGTTTACATTGTGTTTTTGGATTAGGTATCATTTAAGGGCCATTTGCAGCCTGAGAGTCTATCAACAGTAGTGGAATAGTATGTTCAGTTTTATATTTTTCCACAAGTATTCTAGTTTTGAAATTGTTTTACAGAAGTGTTTTAAGGTACATATACATATGAATTGCCATAGTTATTTCACTAATGTTTATAACTGTGCCCTTTTGTTTTGACATTTAGTAGTTATTGATTGCATTCCTTTCAAAACAGACGTTTGGAAGATTATCTTTGAATTTATCTTTGTATTTATGAATTTCTTGTGATTAAATTTATGGCAACAGCCACAATTTCTTTGCAACATAAGTCTAAAATGTCTACCCCATGAACACCGCTATATTATACTTATTTTGTGACATTCTGAGATTTCTTTTCTTTTTTTTTTTTTTGAGTTGGAGTCTCGCTCTGTCGCCCAGACTGGAGTGCAGTG